CAGATCTGCTCACCTCTGCGCACCACCAGACGACATACCACGTCAGCGCCTCCGGCTCGATGTGGTTCCAGACGAGAACCTTAGGTGGAGGAGTGATGTCGGCCAACATCGAGCGGCGGTGGCGACGGGGGGAGGAGAGATGCCACAGACTCATAGATCTGTGCCGTCACCATGAGCAGAGTGGAGAGGAAGTCCTCGCAAATCCGTGAGCTGCCTCGTCATCGTGAGCGGAGGGGGGAGGGGGGGAGGGGAGAGGAGGTCCCCACAGATCTGTGAGTTCCTCCATCACCGCGAGTGAAGGCGAGAAGAGGGAAGAGACGAGGGAAGCTAGGGTTTCGGGCGCCACCAAGCCCGTGCGGGAGTGAGGGCGATGAACATCGAGAGATCTGGACTGCGGGTTGGTTTTCGAAAAGCTTGAGGGTGTTTTTTGCAAAACATGTAGCGCGACGTATCGACATATGGACGAGCCACCAATGCTTTGAATTCTGTGGTGCTCGCAGAATTCGGTGGGTTTTAACAGCTTCCGATTAAGCCGGGGTCATGGCGTCGTCTCGAGCCCCCGCGTCTTTCGAGCAGTCGGCCGCACGGCCAACCGCGTGGATCGTGGGTCCCTCATGAAGTCATGAAGAAGGCAGAAGACTTCGCGCCGGTGGACCTGCGGTGCCCGGCTCAGGCGCGTGTGACGGTCTGGGCGTCTGGCAGATGATGATGGGCCAGAAAGCAAAGCAGCGAGCACGGGGGCATCCGGCATCCGACTCCGACCCATACGCTATCCCATATCCACCTCCTGTCTTCCCTCAAGCTTTTCCCCCCCTTCGCCTTCGTGACTAGTGGCTGACTGGCTGGTCTTTCGCTGGTTTCCCTCGCTTTCGTTCGGTTTACTCACCGTTGTCACGTGCGGACGGGGGATCGCGCTCGCGCGGGTGGGGTAGCGGACTAGCGGGCGGAGCGCGCGCTGCGCGAGACCGGGGGTGGAAGGCGTGGGAGCGCGGTCTCCGGGTGCGTCGGGTGGGAGTGGAACCCAACTGTCGGTGTGAGCTGAGGTGGAAAGGGTGGACGCGCTGCGTGCCCGGCGCGGCGCCGCGGCCGCCACTCGAGTTCACGTGCGTGCCGGTGCGGTCGTCGTGCGGCCGCCACTACAGTCTAGTATCATGGACCGTGGCCGCACATGGTGCGCCGCTGACGATCCCGAATTCTCTCGACTGAAAGCAGCCGCCGGCTGGCTCTGGCTGACCGAGAATTCAGCTTCTCGGAGGAATTATGCCTGCGCTTGGACCAGCCATAGAATCCGGCTGGCTTGCAAGTTGCGAGTCCTTTGTAACACCATCCATCGCATTGCAGATTGCAATCACAAAAGAAAGGGGCCGTTTTTTTTAAGGCGAGCTAGCCAACCTCGACGAACCCCCCCTACTGGAAGTCTTTGCAGTGACTCCAATCATGCAGCTGGGATGTTGGCATCGGGCCTCCTCGTGACGCTCGTGAGGAGCCAGGCCAGACACCGTGTTTGAGCTGTGGCATTCATTCCGTTCAACGCCCAAGGATGCCTCACGCCTGCTGCCAAGGTATGCTGTCTGTGTCGATCGGTTGGCCCTACCACTTTGTTGGAAACAGTTCGCTCGGTGGTTTCAGCTAAGGCTTATCAGTCATGGTATAATATTTTTCTCTTACAACAAATCAGTAACAGTCGAGCTTATCAGCCCAGAAACCAACTGACGAACAGGCGGAATATGCCGCTATCGTATCGGATGTAACCGTGATGTATCTATCACCTATTAGTTTAATTAATCCTACTACTTGAGCCATGCCACCAAATATATGCCTCGTACGGTTGGCATCTCTCGAACGTTGACGTGTCGACAACTCGACCCATACAGGGCAACATGATCAAAAAACACAGTAGTTCACGTTGTCTCCTTACTCCTGGCAGGGACATTTGATCCACCTAATATCTACGTAACTGCAAATTGCAGCATCATGTGTCTATTGGCTTCGGCTTGCAAACTGACGTCGCCGTAGGTAGGTAACCAACGCGATGTTTCCCAACAAACACGGCTAGTAATTTTTCGTGCTTGGGCCTGTTTGAATAGGGATTGGGATTTGGCATCTGATGTTCTGAACGCCTGTGTCGTGGGTTCAGCAGTTTTACCTACAGTATTCATCAGAAGAACCAGTTAACCGACATATGGCGAACAAACTGCATTGGGAGTTTTGAGACTTCACAGTTCACAAGTCACAACGGACACAAGGCAGCCAGAGTCAGCAACCTGCAACCCCAGTCCCCAGGGCGTGCTGTTACCATCCATGGGGACAACTTGCGCCACCCTGGGTCGCCGGCGGGCGGCGGGGCCTCGCGCAAAGCTGGCAGCAGCAGGATTCCCCCCTGTTCAGTGTTCACGCGGCAGCAGCTCTGCAGGCTGCAGCTGTGCCGTGCGCACGCGATAACGTACTGCAGCGGTGACGCGATCCGAGGCCCGTGCCGTGACCACTCCTAGCCTCCTAGGTAAAATCCATCGCTCTGTGCTGCGGTCCGCGGAGGCTGGAATTTGTCAGCTGCTCTTTTGGTTAGGGTATGTCTCGATGGACTAAACTACTACAAAGTGTAGTCCGTTTTGATGCTAAATAGAAGGTCTAAATATGGATTAATCATGGTTTAACAAAAAAACCTAATAGAGACTAATCGATAAATAGAAGTCATTGGAAAAAAGAAAATTTTAATTAGTCCATATTTAGCTTATTATCCAATGTCGGACTAAACTTTAGTCCGGGGCCTAGACGTTCCTCTTTCCATTACTAGCTCCGAGCCTCCGATCACTGGCTGATGTGCTTGATGTGGCATCGCATGGCAGCGGCGGTGTTGCCTGCCGCTGCTCCTGCTTGATGATCAATGCGGTTAGCCCAATGCCTGGCGCAGACGCGATGGGATGAGACGGGAGTACAAGCCAGTGGATGCTTGGGTTTCGACTTTTCTCGTGCACAGGGCGTGTATGGATCCACAGAGATCTTAAGAAACTGGATAGAAAAACTCTCAAAATCCTAGAATTCCATCAAACACCCTAGATTCTAGAGGATTCTAACATTCAGATATAGAGATTATTTTTTTCCAGAATCTTTATTTTACAATCCCCATGCAAACATGCCCTTGGGTGAATCGGACCAGCGGTTTCCTCGGTTGGGCTTGGGCCCACTCCTCAGCTGCTGCAGCTATGTGTGGGACATCGTTTCACTGGGCTCTCCTATCTGTGGCCAGCGGCCCAATATGGTCGAGCTAGCGCACGGGCTTGTGACATTATGGCCTGGCCTGTGGCTTTCCATCGGATGGCGTCCCGTCTTAAACGAATGAATTTCTTCTCCAAGCAACGAAGCTACAAGCTAGCCAGGGCTGCCTGACGTATGTGTAAGGTGATTCCGTATTGCATGGAGGCCAGCACCACCTCTTGTCATCTTGCATTTTTAGACCCTCTTTAGATCCATCAGTATTAATCCTTTAGCTGCTAGCAGAGAAAAGCTAACTAATAGCTTTTTTATTAGTGATGAGGCTAGCTTGACGCACTTGATATAAGATTATTCTCAGTGGAGAGTTTTATGATATTATTTCCAAGACTGTCACATTAACTTTTGTATTGATAATTGTGACAACAGGTTTCATCCAGATAAAACTCTATGAAATTCCTTTCTCTACCTTTTTATAATTGATCTGCCAAGTCACCAAACCTGCTGATGTGTCACAATACTAAATACAAATGAAATTCATATGAAACTCTCGCTGAGGCTGAGCTAAGCAGGAGAGGAATTCAATCGAAGGTCACTGTACTTCGCTGTTGGCGCTAGGTATATAAAAGTACGGGGGTCAACGCAAACAACGCTACGGAAGCCCGTACGCAAGCAATGACGCAACGGACCCTCTCCGGTTACGATGGATGCATGCGCATCCGCCTCACGGCTCACGTTAAGGGACACGGCGGCATTCATGCATCGCCATCTCTCCCAGGCCTATAGACCTTAAAAAAAAATCGTGCCACTGGATCGGCATGAATATGATCGATAGATCTCGCACAGGTACATGTGCGAATGATGACCCATGCATGCATGTATCTGTGCAGGTCGATCTCCATTTAATTTAATTTTTACTATATTTGCATTACAGCTTCATTGTTTTTTTTTGAACATCACTCCTCAGTCTTTATTATTCATTAATGTTTGGTCCAGCTTTAGTTCCACTTCATTTTGTAAAATTTTTCAAGATTCCTCGTCACATCGAATCTTTGGCGAACGCATAAAGCCAAAAAAATAAAACCATTTAAATCCACGAGACGAATCTTTTAAAAAGCCCTAATTAGACTATGATTGGACACTAATATGCACAATGCCAAAAACTACTTGTACTGACGATGGTCTACTTGTACCGACGATGGTCGTCCCTTTCGGCGGGTGTATATACCATAATAATGAATGCACGCAGAAAATAACCTCTAGGCGTCCTCTGAAATGGGTAATTACCGGTCGTTCACCAGAGGGAATCTTTTGATCTTTCCAGGCACGCACACACGTACGTGACGTGGGTCACCGATCATCAATTCATCATGACGGGGGGGCCTTGCTCAATTTGTCCTTGCTGCATCGGGTCTTCCCGCGTGTCCAGGTCGCCGGCCGCGTCGGACTCTTGAACGGCCAGCATGCATCGAGGGAGGTCGATCGATCGTTACCAGTCAGTCTCCTCTCTCGACCCCGCGCACAAGGCAATCTGAAGCTCGATTCGGTCGCGAGGTCCGGCGCGGCCCAACCCAACCCCTCCCCCAAGTCTCTCCTCCTGTCCACGCCCGCGCGCGCGCGGGTATAAAACGCGTCGTACCCGCCGCTCCAGCGGACACGTCTCTTATTACTAGCTTCCAAACTAACTGACCACTACTATCAGCTGTCATTCATTGCCTGGGACAGGAAGCAAGCGATCGAAGGGGTCGATCGGCTGAACAAGAAGGCGGGCGCGTAGAGGTAGAGCCATCATGCTTGCGAGCGCGACGAGAGCAGGGACGACGTCCACCAAGCCCGGCCACGCCGCGGGCGCCGTCCGTGGAGCCGGAGCCGGCGGCAGCGGCACCCCCGTCGCCGTCGTCACCGGCGCCGAGCAACAGGAGGTCACCGTCTCGCAGTTCGTCGCGCAGCTAGGTTCGTTCCTTCTAACAGAAACCGATGATTGAGCTAGCTAGCTAGAGAGATGTTCACAGTTCACAGCACTGTTATTAATTTAATCTGTAGCGAGAGTGATATGATATGATGATCAGATGAGTGATCGCTGATGAAAATGGTGGGTGCACAAAAAAGAACGATTGATTTCAGCTTGCGTTGTGCTTTGGCAGATGAGGCGGCGCGGCTGAGGCTGGACAGCATGCACCAGAGGCTGAGGTTGCTGGAGCAGCAGATGGAGACGCTGGAGGCCGAGGTCGGCAAAGCCAGCAGCACTAGGATGGACACCTACGCCTAGTCTTAGTCGCCTAGAGTAGTTGGTAGCGGCTGGCCAGATCGATCCGTCGATCCGGAAGCAGACCACAGATCTTTTTCTTTTTCTTTTTCTTTTTCTTGATTAAATATTTCTCATGTACATGGACGATGATTAGAACAATATATGACGACGCATGGATGGTGCCGTCGCTAAAACTATCTCCACAGTTTTGGAGCGACCTGGAAAAGTATGGCAGTTCGTTTGCATTGTCACTCTCATCTCCTGTGTGGAAATGGATGCCGTTCCAAGCATGCATGCTGGACTTCCTGAATTCTAGAAGAACAGTTAATAGTAGAAGCCAATCTCAGTTGACTAGGAGTATTCAGAGTTCAGACAGTAGCTGATCGAGTGGCTGGGCTTGCGATCCCCAGTTCCCCTGCAATCTTTGCAACAGCAACTCGGTAAGACAGATAGATGGAGACCCTGAGGTTGACAAATTGCACAACATGATATCATAGAAGATTTCCGTAACAGGTGCTCAGCACCTCAGCACTAGTAACAGTAGTATCCAAACAAAACAAAATGATATTTATCAGAAAGGGAAAAGATGTATCACTTCATCATGAACATATATGTACATTGAAATGTCGTTTGCATGGAACCAGAGCAAATCTTCATAACACAGAATTTCCTTCTTGAAAAGTCCTTTTGACGACACAACAGTACAGTACATCTCTTGTACAACAGCATGGTACATCGATACGATAACAACAACAGCAGCATAGCCTTTCAATCCAAGCAAGTTAAAGTAGACTAGAGTTAAAACCCACCAAGAGCCCAAGTCACGGTTCAGACACTTCAATAGCTACTTTCCAAGTACTCCTATTCAAACATAGATCTCTAGGTATATCTTAAGCTTTCAAATATCTTTTCATTGCCTCCCCTGTGTCAATTTCGGTCTTCCTCTACCTCTACTCATATTATTAGCTTGGCTTAAGACTCCATAATGCACTGGTGTCTCTGGAGGTCTCCTTTGGACATGACCAAACCACTTCAACCGATGTTGAACAAGCTTTTCTTCAATTGGTGCTCTAGACGATCACGTATATCATCGTTCCGAACTCGATCCATTCTTGTGTGACCACAAATCCATCGCAACATACGCATTTCTGCAACACTCAGATGTTGAACATATCAAATCTTTGTAGGTCAACATTCTGCTCCATACAACATAGCCGGTTTAATCGTCATTTATAGAACTTGCCTTTTAGCTTTTGTGGTACCTTCATATCACAGAGAATGCTAAAAGTTTATCACCACTTAATCCACCCTACTTTGATTCTATAGCTAACGTCGCATCAATATCTCCATCCCTCTATAGCATCGATCCCAAATACCGAAAGATATCCTTCTTAGGCACTACTTGATCTTCCAAACTCACATCACCCTCCTCATGTATAACTCCGCCAAAGTCACATCTCATGTATTCGGTTTTAGTTTTATTCAATCTAAAACCTTTAGACTCAAAGATCTGCCACCATAACTGTAGTTTCCTATTTACTCCCGCCTGCCTTTCCTATTTACAACTCCACTAACATCGATACTCAACTTAAAAAAAAGAACAGATCACATAGTAACAACAAGAAGCAAGCAAGCAAGCCACCACCACCACAAACCATATAGCCACACGAAGAGCATCAAACTGTATCGCTATTCACAGGCTAGCTTGGTCCCAAAGCTGCTGAGGCTGATGGCAAAGGCTTGGAACGCGGAGAGTGGTTGCCGGTAATCCATCGTGAACACATCGTCGTCGACCTTACCAAACTGCAGCAGAACCGTTTTATCATCCACGCTGCTAGTAGGGTCACTGGGGTCGGGAGCAGCCACAAGCTGGAAATTCTTGACTGATGCAACTGTTACCCGCCCATGGAAGTTTAAGCACCAGCACTGCAGGTGCTCATGCCAGAGGGGTGCTTTATTCCGTAAAGTTGTGGGACCCAGGGGCCTCTTGAACTTTGTCTTGAGTGAGTTTTCCCAAGTCTCTTGGGCTGAAGGGCATTCAAGAGTGCAATACATTCTCCTAGGGCCTCTGGATTTGAGCAAGTTGTATTTGTATGAAACCTGTCCAACTTCATAGTTGCCAGCCGATACTTGGGGACTAATCCTTCTGCTTCCGAAACGACGACTAGATCGACTACTTGATGCTTTAGCACCATCATATGGTGGCTTGCTATCATATATTTTGAAGTTTGTCCCCCAGAAATCAGATCTAAACAGGGTGCAGAAGTAGAACTGTATGTTAAGGTGGGGAAACAGATTCCAATACAAGTATTAAAACATAACAGGAGAACAACAATCTATTCCCTCCGTCCTGAAATATAATGGATTTTGTGTTGTCCTAGTCAAAACTGTCCAAAGTTTGACCAAGTTTATAGAGAAGAGTATTAACATCTACCATATCAAAGAGGTAAATTAAGAAAATATTTTTATAATGTACCTAATGATGCTAATTTAGTGTCATAAATATATTGTTCTGTGTACGCTTGGTCAAACTTTTGACAGTACTTAGGACAACTCAAAATCCCTTATATTTCAGGAGAGAGAGAGTACGCTGTCTGCACAGAGAATTTAAACAAGGGAAAGTGTCATATAACCTAACCTAAGACAGTGAAGTGCTGACTTTTCCAACAATTAGATAGGCAATGAACTTTTGCAATACCAAATATGTCAGCAGTGCAAGGACACAACTTAACCAGTCAATTGCAAAGTTGCAATGGATCCCATGTATTGCAAGCCCTAAGACCAAGTAATGTATAAGGCATGCTAGCGGGTTCGGGGAGTTTGTTCTTCAATAAGAGTACTACAACAGTGTACGGTGTAAACCATCAAAACATATTACCAGGTAGTTGAAGAGCAAGTCATATCAAAACACAGGTACCAGTTGGAACTCACAAATCCTGCAATTTTATTCATTTTGAGTATCTTAACTTATGCTTTCAAAAATCTGTTGTCAACTACATGAAATGTATGTGCCACCTAATCGCACCAGAACACGTCACTTTCAGCAACCAATTCATAAGCAGAGTTAATCCAAGAAGGTTCAGGAGAACTCTGGAATCATGTTGAACCTCACCTCAGTTTCCCCATGTATGCATTGCTCCCTGGTGATAAGTCCTCTGAATCAAGAGATATAATGTACTCAGTATGGGGACCACGCCTAAATCTTCTAGCAGCCATGAGAAACTTCCCCTTATCCACAGGTGCTGTCAGATGCCCAAAAAAAGACGAAGAAAAGGTATTAATCATCAAGAATATCTGATGGTCAGAAGGATGAAGAAAAAATATATCTAATGTAAAAAAAAGTTACAAACAGACTTCTATGTAAACATAAAAGAACAAATACAGCCAGCTTGGAATGTGCAGTTGTGCACTTCAAAATAATTCTACATAAAAAAAACATGTAGTGTTTGATGGAATATGCACACAAGCATAAATTATAAAAAATATGATAATTACGTGTACTATGAGACTTCTTTTAACCCAAGCTTAGGTGTAGATGCACCTCAGTTGAAAAGATACAATCAGAAAATCTAAGATAAAATAACAGGGAGTCTCGTAAGGAAATAATTAGCCTGGCCATCGCTGAGCTGTTGAGGATAAGTAAGAGCTTGTACACCCATTCCCATTTTGGGTGAAACAGATGTGAAGTACTGTCACTATCCATGATTTCATGTATGTTATAGGACTATACAAGGGCTACAGGTAACTATCTAGTAACCAGCAGTGTTCATGTAAACTGCTTGTCCTGTTTCACTATCCAATCTACCTTGTTTCCCCATGATCACAAATGAGCTAAACCCAAATGCATCCCATTGTCCAGGAAATTTAATCTATCATGCTGGTCTGATGACAGGAAGCGATTAAGTATGGAAGTGAAATTGCCAGAATTCCATAAGAAAGAATACATCATCCATTATTTAACAACGAAAAAAGGTGCTAGATTCTCTTAAAATGGACTTTAAATGAAGTAATGAACGTACACATCATATCTTGTACTTACAACTTGTGAAGCCAAGGTAGAGGTAGAATGTAGAGTTCTTCTTATTCCGCTTGATAAAGCACTGCATTGGGCTATCCCTTGGCCCTGGCTGTGTTTTGAGAAATGGTGTAAGATTTAGGCACACAGATGTCAAATAAGAAACACTATGACACTGAATTTGCAAGGAAATTTCTCAAACTATGTCCTAAATATCTGAATGGCTGGTACGTATCAAAATCGCTGATGATGCCATATAAGGGAAACCATGCAATCAACCTGCCAGGTTGTTTCTCTCATTAGAATCTTAAATAACCAAAGTAACTGAAGCTAACAAAGATATGCAAACAAGCACTACCACAAACTGCCAGAAAATGCTAACTTCCACATTCCATCTCTGCGAGGTTAATTTGTAGCAAAAACTAGACATTTCTGATTGTGGGATATTTTTGTAACCCATGGCCAGCATCAAGCGTCACTGAAACCATTAGATAAACTAATCGACCAAATTTAGTCACCTCCAAAAGCTAACTCTGAGCACACAACTGTAAGTTATATATATGAAAACTCTCAGACAGATTATTGGGCAAAAAGTATGTCAGATTTTGGACCTTATGATGGAGATCCAGCTACCTATTTTTTCCCCCATATTGCTACTTCAATGATACCTTAACACCTGATTCACTGGACCACATGAAGCACCACACCTGCCACCTCCTGCCATCTGCATGCCATGGTGTCACCCAGCACGAGCACCACACCACTGCTTCCTGCCTTCCATTGCCTGTCAGGCTTGCCGACCTTCCTCTGCTGACGCCGGTAAGGTCCTTGGTCTTCCTCATCCACTACCGCCCTCCATACGACTCCTTTCATTTCTCTCATAGTTTTCATCCTGGCTCCGGCGCCCCCACTCTGCCCGCCTCCTCTGTCTCTAGCGGCTCCTGCCACTGCATCCGTCATCACTGCCAGTCCCTCGCTAACTAGAAACAAATGTACCTCCCCTGTCATCAATTCCCACCACCACAGCCGACAGCACCATCATCGACCACAAATCCCTACCCACCAAAACTTTTTTAGAGTTTCAGCGCAAAACGCACTGGTCATTGCATTATCACAAGGACCAGAGAAACAGGTTTAAGCATTCGGTGTTCGTCACCCATACGCATCAACACAACTCCACGCTCTCCAACATTAACCACTGACTAACAGCAGCTAAGAACAATTACATATTCCACTCCTCACCAAACTTTAAGAGACTGAGCCATTTCCCCTTAGCCGCCAAGCGTTCTGAAGCATCCACCAGGAGATTCGCAATTTCATCAGGGTAGTCCTTCTGCTTCCAGTCCAGAGTCGACTTGTACATGATTCTATTCCATTCATCATCCACCTGGTTTAGCCAGTCAACCTTGGGTGGCTGGTTGCCAGCCTTCTGAGCTTTTCCAGCTTTGTATTGAACTCCGGCCTCTTCTCGGTTGGACAAAGTAAGATCCAGCCCGTGAGCATGGCCAAAATTACCCACCAAAACCCCCAACCCCTAACCCTAAACTTCGTTGCAGTGCATGGAGTTCTTGAGTTTTCAAGAGACGGAGGTCAGCTTGAATCATTTTGCAAAATCGTGAGGTTGGTAATTCAACATATTTTGCATTCTAGATTTGTTGATAGACATCTAGCAATTATCATATATAAAACAATACAAATCTACTAACCCCGCCAGTACTCCAATTTCTCAAACTCGCAAGAGTAAGCAATCTCATGGATTCATGGTCAGAACTGACGGTCCAAAAGTACTCAGAGGCCAGATTCGCCCTCAGATTTCACATAACTACCTAGTCCGATACGTCAATACCATCATCCATCACGGAAGCTTCGCCAGTAAGGACCAAAATCGCATATTGCATCGATCCCTCCTCAATAATCGAGACGAGATGGATATACACAGACCAACGCCGCCGCACACACTGAATCGGCACCTAAGAGCCTAAGACACTCTACTACTGACCTATGTGCGAGCGAGCAGCTCAAACCGCAGCTTCCGTCCTCACCTGCTTGAGCGAGGAGGGGAAGGTGATCTTGCCGGACTCCGCCGGCGGACGCACGACGGCTACAGCGGCCTCCCGCCACCGGCGGCACACGCAGGCGCAGGAGATGACGTCCTTCCGCGCCGGCCACCGCTCGCCGCCGGACGCCTCGACGCGCCGCACCACGTCGGAGAGCAGCTCCGGCAGCAGCCTCGCCCACCTCTCCTCCTGATCCTCCGCCTCCGCATCCGGGTCCGCCTCTACCACCTCGTCCATCTCGCCGCGCTCCGGTGGCGGCGCCGCCGGGACAGAATGCCGAGACATCTCCCCACTACAGTCGCGGGCCTCTCCTTTTTCTTCTTTTCTTTTTCTCTCTCTTCCTCTTTTTTCGCCCGCTTGTGTACTCAAAACCGCGTTCGGCTCTCCACGCCTCCACAGTCCACACCACCCCCCCCCGCTCTACTGTCTGGACAGTAGAACTGCGGCTCTCCACGCCTCCACAGTCCACACCACCCCCGCTCTACTGTCTGGACAGCAGAACTGTTGCTCGGCTCTGCTGGCTGATAAGCCGTGGTTCAAAATCCTATTGATTAATTTATTATAAAAGGAAATATTATTTATTAATTTAAAAAGTATAGGATTATAATAAATGAATACGTTACTGGTGGCTGACCAGCACAGGTGGTCACCGTGCTCGCACCGTAGGTAGTGCCATGCCTAACACATAAAGCAAAGACACGAATCAAGTTCACGGATACATGTCATAGATAGAATAGCGTCATGCACGTAGGGATAACCGTAGGCTCTGCGTTTTAGATTCACGTGCCCAAAACAACGTACGGTTAGCTAAGAATTTAGGGTTGTTTGGATCCGGTGACTAAAATTTAGAAGATATATTGGAAGGATGTTGCATGGGGTATTTGATACCAATAAAAAAGCAAATTACATAATCCGTCGGTACTCCACGAGATAATTTTTTAAGCCTAATCAATCCGTTATTATCACATGTTTACTGTAGCAAAATATTGTCAAATCATGGACTAATTATGCTTAAAAGATTCGTCTCGTAAATTAGTCGCAAACTATGCAATTAGTTTCGTAATTAGTCTATATTTAATACTCCATGCATATATTCAAACATTCGATGGGACAGCGACTAAAATTTATGAGGGGCAACCAATCACCCCCTAAATGTAAACAGAATGAAACGAAGGTTGCACGAGAATAGATAGACCAAGCACTCATACATGAGGGACAAGGCAATATATAGCTCCGAGTACAAATAGCAACAGTCACCACACATCATACCAACCGCGTAGACCATACAATAAGTTAGTTTCCAAACCAAGGCAGGCGACGGTTCTCAAAAGACACCACAAAAATGTTGCGTTGCTCTAGACATACATCCTAAAGTGTCCACGCTAGAGCCCTGGTAGCAGATCCTTCAACCTCAACTGCACTTGCAGCCATTCCTACTGAACTCGAAGATCCCTGCCAACCGAGCCTCGTGAGGTTAGTGTCTTACACGCTAGAACAGGCAGGCTATAGGAAATAGGGAATGGCCCTGTTCGCATATCATTATAAACAAATGTGTTCGGCTTAGGTGTGTTATTATTTAGGCATTCATAGCTTAAATGCCCCTTTCTTCTACAAGCATAGCATATGCGGCCTTTATTTGCTCTATGCTTGCTTTGCTTGTATGGACATCTATCAACCTTGTGGCCCATCTCATTGCATCCATAGCATCTTCTTGTTGCAACTTGGGCTTCCTTTCTTGCCTCTTTGTACATTGGGCATTTCTTGGTAGGATGCCCTAATTTCTTGCTCATGAGACGAGCGCTTTGTCCATCACTTTTCTTTTGGTTGGCCAACTTGTTTGAGGCCTTTTGTTCGGCCACTTCACACTTATCGGCCCAACTCTTATATAGACACATGGCCCACTCATGTCCATATAATCCACAACCATAGCATAACTTTTTTCCATATTTCTTGCTCTTAGTTGTGTTGGCCTTACTTGAAATGTGATTCTTTTGTTGGATTTTGGAGGAAGCAAGGTTTGAATCCTTCTCAAGCTTCTTCACCATGTTATCACACTTATCTTGATAATGTTGTGCTTTCTCCTTACCCTTAAACCGAATCACATCTTTCTTTAATCTTTTCACCTCTTCTTTGAGCTCTATGTTTTCTATGAGATTTAGCTCAATCGAAGATTGGCTTGCTTGAGGAGCACACTCATTAGTACAAGAAATATTTAATTGAGATGATGTACTAGTGAGTGAGGTTGAGAAAATTTTACCGATGTGATCACAACCTCATGAGCTACCTCAAGCATGATGCTTGATTCTACTACTTCCTCATGAGAGCACTTTAGATGAACATAGTTTGCTTGTAGCACATTATACTTGCTTGATAGTTCATCTAGCCTTGTCTTGAGCTCCAAGTTTTTCTTCTCTAGTTGTGAAACACTAGTAGAGGAGTTAGTAACTAAAGCAAGCTCAATTGATAATTTTTCATATCTTTCACTTAGAGCCTTTAGTTCTTCCATCTTGGAGATGAGAAACAATTCTTGCTTTTGAAGTGATTGCTCTTGCTTCTCAATTTCTTCTTCAAGCTCATCATTCTTTTCAACTATCTTCATGATGATAAACTTGTCCTTATGGTTGAGATGATCAAGGTTGTAGTTGTCTTCAACTTCAACATCACTCTCATCTTGATCATCTACTTGTGCTTTCTCCTTTTCTTGATCTTTCTTGTTACTCTTCTTCTTGCTTTTCTTGGCCATGAGACACAAGTGATGAGTATCATGAGATACTGAGGTTGACTCATCACTTGGTTGTCACCGGGCTTGAGCATCATTGCAAACAGCTGCTTGCTGCTCTGCTGCCTCGGCCATACCGCACATGTCCGGTAGGCGTCCGGTATGTACAGGCAGACAGCAGGTCATGCGCTGCTTGCACTTCTTGCTCTGGCTCGGCGCTCTTGAGGTCTTGTGAGGCTTCTTCACTACATGAAGACACAATGGACATACTTTCCATTGACTCGATCTCAAGTGCATCATGACATTTGGATTTTCCATATAAATCAAAAAGTCTAGTTCAAATGAGATGAGCACTATCCGGAGGTGGTTGTCCATTGAAGATTGTCTCATCTTGAACCTCTGCACTCAATGTACTCAACGTGACATTGATAGCTTGAGCATTGAGTTGCATGCATATCTCTTCCTCTTTTGACAAATTTTTGTAGTTGCTCCAATCAACTATAGGAAGAGGTATGCTTGCATCCACAATATGCTCAACAAAATGACTAATATCCCTAAAAGCATTGAGTACATGAATTGACCAAGGTAGAAAGTTTAAACCATCACTTTGGAGAAGCACCGGCTCCAACTCGATAGGCGTCGACATCATTTTTCTCATGGCAGTGAAGTTTTAGGTGAGAACCTCGCTCTGATAACAATTGACAGGACCCAGGATGCCGCCTAGAGGGGGGGGTGAATAGGCGTTTCTAAAAATTAACACCTTTAAATGTGGAAATGATTAGTAAAGGGAGTTTCCAAAATGGAAACTCTAAATAAAGAGTAATACCACCCCTCACAAGTTAGACACAGAGTATACAAGGTATAAAGAATATATCTAGAAGCTACAACACTACAACACAAAGTTAGAACAGAGAACGGATATATTCAGCACAGGCAGGACATACCGGACGTGTCCGGTATGCACGGTTTCTGCAGAGCAGCCCCAAACTTGCTCCTCTCGATTTCTATCTTCAAACCAAACTACAGGTATCTACTAGAGATAACAATATACACAGAGAACCTGCACAAGATCTAGAGCAACACAAATATCGAATGAAATGCGAATTGAGACATGATATTTGTTTTACCGAAGTTCAGACTCGTTCGAGTCCTACTCTCCATTGAGGGGGCTGCAGGCGACCCAACGAAGGTCAGCCCTAGAGGGTACCACGAAGGTCACTCTAGCTAGAGTCTTTTCCAACTCCTTTTCCTCCTTCCACTAGTTGATTCCGAGGCAATGAAATCGACCGTTACAAACTTTCTGAGGCACACCACAATCTCTTAGGTGCTCTCCGGCAACGTCTAGCCATCTAGGACCGAAGAGTCCAAGAGTAACAAATACGAATCACGAGACTAACAATATGCACAAGTGCTTAAGTAGTTGGATTGCTCTCTTTTTAAATTTCTCTCAACCCACTAATTGATTTGATAATTTGGATCACACACTCACTAAGAGAGGGTTTGGGAGAGTTGGGAAGGCTCAAAAACATGTATGTGTATCAGCAGAATCAGCAGCCTCCAAAGGTGGAAGCTTAGGGGTATATATAGCCTCCTTGGAAAAACTAGCCATTTTATAGCCGTTGCCATACTGTCCGGTATGACTTACACTGCGCCAACAGTAACTGAGTTATAGTAACGTTGTGAGGCGTCGGAACTCCCGATGAATGCCGGAACTCCTGACTCATGTCGAACTCCCGACCCTCAGCACATTTGAAAACCATGATAACTGAGTTAAAGTATGTGAGGTGTTGGAACTCCCGATGCATGCCAAAACTCCCGACCGTCAGAACTCCCAACTCACGTCGGAACTCCCGACCCTCAAGACTTTTGAAAACTAGCCGTTGGCCTCTGGCCGTCCATATGACCAGGACAGTGAACTCTCCAAGTCAGTTTAAGTGTGAGACGTCGAAACTCCCGACCATTGTCGGAACTCCCGACCGTCGGAACTCCCGACGAACCAACCCAAGAACATCAAGAATTTTATCGTGGCTAGGCACATACTGGACACGTCTGGTATTGCCAAACCAGCAAAATAAGTTAGCTCTTTTATCTCTCAAACACTCTAAAAACTCACATGGGTTGGCTTGAGCACTTATGAAACATTATCTATCAACATGATGCATCCCTCTTAATAGTACGACATTTCTATTAACTCAAATTTAAAAGTATAACGAATTTAATCCTTTTGAGTTGATCTCTCTCAACCAAAGCCATGTATTCCAATCTTCATCAAGTGAGGGTACCAACATGTCAACTTTGATCTTTTTCACTTGAGCATAGCCATCTTGAGCACGTGACTTGATTCCATTCATTAAATATGAATAACTCCAAATGCATCAAGTCACTTTCAACACTTTGTCCAATATAGATTTGATCCTCCACATCAATATGACCATCATAGCTTGATTAGTACCTCAACTAAATGCAAGTACTTTCTTCTTCACCCTAGCTAGGTTCTTTGGCCGCCAAGCTGTCGCTT